AATTTGGATGGAGGTGGAAATGGAGTTGGTGGTCATGGTGGTGGTAGTGGAATTAATAATAATATTAATAACAATCTTAACATTAATCTCAATAATTCACATATTATTAACAACAATAATATCACTAGCGTCAATAACGATGTTAGTAGTAACAATATGATGATGTTACCACCGCAGAACTCAAATAATTTTGTCGGTCAAAGTAGTAGTAATAATAATAATGATGATGATGATAATAATAATAATAATGATAATAATAATAATAATATACTTGGTCAAGGTGGTGACACACATTTATCAAGTATTATGTAAATTATTTATTTATTTATATTATTTATTTTTGCAGGCATTAATTAATTAGTTGTAACATTTTTATAAAGATAGACTTATTTTTCATATTTTTGTAATTATTAATACGCATTCGTTAAAAGGCAAGTGTATAATAACATAATAATTTGATATATTAAATTTCTATTTCTCTAGATTTGAGTTGTTAATAAAATTTCTAATTGATAATATCTTTGACAATTCTTAATATTAAGTGTTCATTCAATAAGGATGATAGAACTATGCCAATGCTTTGTGCTCGGAACATTGATCTCCAAAAAAAGAGAAGAGAGATTATAAATTACAACCATTTGTCAGGAAAAAGTAAAAAAAAAATTAAAATAAAGCAACAGAGAGAATACTTTACTACTCTGAAACATTAGGCGAGCTAGAATAATTCAATATCCTAGCAATGCGTTTACGTGGTCTTTTCTTTCGATTTTTACTAATATTATCGTGTCCGCGTTGTTCCTGACAAACTTGATCTTGATATTGATCTCGAATACCTTCACTATCTTCTTCATCTTCATTAAGACTATCTACAAAAAATAACCAAAACGACCAACCGGAAGAAATTTATTACGACCGAAGCCCAATGAGGTATTTGAGTAAACACGAACGAGGAGAAAGAAAGAAAGGAAGCAACAGAAGCAGAAACGTCACACAACACTTAGGAGGAACCATGTATCTTCTTTTGGGAGTTGTTGTCGTTACCTAGATCCTCGGCTTTTCGCTTATTTTTTCGAACGGACGATAATTGTTGTGACGAGGACGATGAAGAAGGTTCAACCGACGATGAGGCTGGTAATCCTACTCCACTTCCACCGGGCGCGGTGGGAGCAGGTGAAGAAGTTACCGAGTCCTCGGATGAAGAATAGTAGCGAGCAGGTATCTTATGCTTATCATCAGATTTTGGACGCGAATATTTTGGTAGTTTTGACGGATGTGTTGGGAATGGCTTTGCTTTAAAATACGTATGACTTAACGCCTATTATATATTGGATCAAAATGATTCAATTATCAAAAATAAGTAACAGTTATGATAATACAACAAATAACTTTCAATGACCGACAACTATATTTCGTGCACTAATTTAATTTTAATAACGGGTAATAAGAGATTAGCATTTCGCTCAACCTCTTTTGCAGTCACTCGTTTGTTCGGATCAAAAGCCAGCATCTTGTCAATAAGTTCTATCGCAGCTTTGGTGGCAGCTTGAAATAGATGTGGTGGTTTTGGATATTTTTTAAATTTAAATGTTTTAGGCAGTAACGACATTCCCTATTTAATCGATTAGTTACAAAGGTAGCACTAGAATTATCAGTATATGAACTAGAGGAGGATTAAAAATAAAAATAAAAATAAAAAAAAAATACCGGCCAATCTTCCTCCGAAGGTGTTCCCAACGCCTGGAACATCTTATCCAACACCACAAACTCACTCTCATCGGCGAACAACGGCACGCGTAACATCAATTCTGCAAAAATACAACCAACAGACCAGATATCAACAGCCGCACCATATTGTTGCGCCCCCAATATCAGCTCTGGGGCGCGATACCATCTATTTTTAGTCATAGTAAATGTCTGTATATCACACGTTTTTTTTTAATGCGGGTAATGGCAATGGTAATGAAATGATGACGTGCACGAAATTTGTGCATTGCACTATGTGCGTGTAGGTATGTAATGTGAAAGTTTGTATGGAAGAGAAACTTACAGAGTGACAACTTGGCTAGACATGTTCTTTTCTTGACCGTCGCCGTAATCGCGTGCTAGACCGAAATCTGCGATTTTCAGTTGTCCGTCCGGTGCGACCAGTAAGTTATTCGGTTTCATATCCTGAATGAATTTATCAGAGATATGGAAAATAAAAATGAGGCAATAAACTCATAAAACAAACATACCCTGTGAATTATCCAGTTTCTGTGAATATGATCTAACCCTCGAAGTGTCATCAACATCCAACTTTTTACGTGACCCGACTCAAAGATCACCGTTTTATCTTTGATTATCATCTCAAGATCAGAATCAAGGTACTCGAGCACAAGGTTCAAGTTTCCTCGGTACGAGTAACAGTCCAACAGCTTGGAAGTATAGACGATCAGTGAATTGATAATCAAACACAAAGGCCAAAAATCGAGAATAGTTAGAAAAAAAACAATACTTCAATCACGTTCGGATGGTGTAATTCTCGTAATGCCTTTATTTCTCGAACAGCCGATAATTCTATCCCATTTGCTCCACCAGCCTGAGATTTGCCCAACTTTATTTTTTTGATGGCAACTTTTCTCCCTGTTGCTATTTCCGTACCTACAATTTTTTAAGTAACGATACTTCTAGAGTAAATAAGGTTAACTATGCTATGTTCGAAGCATTAAACAAGTGTCGACGTCCATGTTCGTTACCTTCAAAGACATCGGCATAAGTACCCTCCCCAATCTTTTTAGTCTTATTGTATTTTCTTCGTATTTGATGATCACGTTCGTCTGGTTCTATAAACATTTTCATATCGATATCATCATCACAGATTGTAATTTCACTTATAAAAATTTTCGAAAATCAGCTGATTAAAGCTGAAAAAAGTATTATATCTCGTTAACACTTTCTCTCGCGGTTAACCCATAAATACAACGATGACTCCGTTTTCAGAGCTCAAACAACGTTTATTCTTACCGCATTATATTGTGAACCTGCTTTTCTGTTTGCCGTTTTTCATTGTTCGCTATACACCTTTTTTGAGCTCACGGTACCTGGACCTTTCATTGGAGGTAAATAAATCTTTGTTGATAAAAAATAACAATGGTGGTTTATTTAATTCGATTGCTTTTGATATATTGCATTATCCCATAATGAAATCGGATTTTTTTGATAATCATGATTGTTCTTACTGTGTAATTATAATTTTAACTTGATATCATGATTGAATTAATAAAGCCACCTGTACTTAAAATATATGGTGTTGTTCTCCTCTTGATCCCATTAAAATATCGGTCATCGACCAGCGCCGAGGAATTCCTTTCGATACTGTTTCTGTATGGAAAAATTATGAATATTACATTGTTCTACCTGTATGGTAGAACTGGGTTTAGCATTTTTTATGGGATAGTGTGGGGTGGTGAGCGATAGTAAATTATATGTTTGGATCAATGCATTCGTTATTGGCTTTGCTAATTGATTCAATGATATTATATAGTGTTATTTTCAATTCTGCCGCAGCCCAGTTATCAGGGACCTTCAAAGATAATAGAGCTATCTGGAGATCATTTATATGAAATTGAGAGAAATCAATTCGAGACTTCTAAAATTGTAGAATTGGCATCTTCATCCGAACAAATAAATGACAAGAAAAAAAATGCAATTCATGATCAATACTGGATTGTGTTGTTTTACGCGATGTGGAGTCCTGCGTGCAGGAATTTCGAAGTGACACTCGCGAAAACATCATTAAAGTAACTAATTTCTTTCTAGTATTGCTTTTAATTTAAGGAAGCAACTCAAATTTCATTTAATTTTAATTAATAAAAATTAGATACGCGACAGAGAACATACATTTCGGAAAAATTGATCTAGAAATATTCTCGGTATTAGCACAAGAACACCAAATCTCGCTGTCTCCCACAAGTCTCGATTTGCCAACTTTAATTCTTTTCAAGAACGGTACTGAGATAAAACGGTTACCGCAGAAACCTGATAATAATGATGACGATGAAGATGAGTCAAAGAAAAAGGAATACGAGAAAATTAAGAGCGAGACGTTGAAAAGCGCAAAGGCTACTTGGGATCGGCTGGGGTGGGATCGGAGCATGGTAAGTTTGTCATTAATGGTTTTATTTTTTGATTATTGATTATAATGATATATATTTATTCTCTTTTTTGTAGCAATCAATAGTCTCTGCTTTCAAATTGGACACTTTGATAAAAAATTAAATTTTTGTTTCTGATTTTTTATTATTTTTCCATTCTTTGTCTATAAAAAATGGAACAAACCACCTTTGCATAATTCGCAAAAAACC